CTTCTACAAGCATTCATTTTTATTAAGGATTACCATTGACCTTGTTTGCATTTAAAGTACAACTGTCAAACAAATGATAAAGGTCAGATGGTGAAGGCATATCTTTTATATGACTCGTTTCTTAGTTCTTGAATTTTTTATGGGTAAAAATCAGTATTTGGGCATATTCACTTGGAATTTGGGCATATTCACTTAGAAAAAGTTTTCTAACATAAAGTAATATTTATTCTAAATTGGAAATATAGATCAAACTGGTATAATGACATTTTTAAAACACCTTATTTGTCCATTTGTCATCTATGTGCACATACAAAGATGTGTACAACAATATTAACACTTAAGAACCAACCATAGAAGAGTTTAGCATAATATAAACAATGACTTTTCTTAAAGAATATCAGTGACAAAGAAGAGAAATAAATCTAAAGGGGTAGATATTACCTTTGTCTTAAAAAACAAATTTTTTTTAAATGAGGCGGAAAAAAATCTTAAGAATGAAACTAGTAATCGTAGGAAAATATCCTTTAAAAATACTAAAAAAAAATTTACTGGTGCTATTTCGGTATGTACGGACACATATACACTCACACACATCATAAATTACATGTGTGGACAAAGAGTACTCTCTATATCTAGAAATCTACGCCACTGGGCAAGCTACCACTGTCGTTTCCTGATTGTCCTGGTTTATCTCAATCTCTGATCGGGTGTCTAGGCACGTGATCTCACACCGAAAGTTTATTTGGATGGCTTTCGAGTCTTATCTCTTACTTCATTAAAAGCAACAAAGACAATGAGAAAGAGAAATTATGCCAGTTCATGTTGCTGCTGGCTGGTGTAAAATAATCATTTTTTTTCCAATTAAAGGACTTCTCCAGCTTACTAACTTGTTCCAGGCTCCAGCTGCCTTTTAGTTGTTTAACTACTAAATGTTTAGTGAATAGTTTGCTTAAAAAGAAAAAAAAAAAAACTTAGCAACTGTCCCTTTCATTAGTTTAAGCACAAAACATCTTGGCTGGAAAAAAAAAAAATTCAGTTTTAAGCAAACATTTTTCCCCACAAGCTTCAAGAGACCATATGGTTTTTATGCAGAACTATGAAGTAGTTTTGCCAGAGAGTGCCTATTCAATATTAAGTGGTTCAGAAATAAGCAAGCTCCAATTTGCTTCAGATATAAAAATTCAAGGTCCTCTTTGGATGACCCCAAGCATTACTGAGTGACTTGAAGAACTCAGAGTACTTGGGGATGGACCTTTTCCTGTGTAAGGGGATTTTAACTCTCTGGAACACACTGGAGTCTAAAGTAACTAGTCCTCCTCTAAGCATCTCCTTTCCTGTCCCTTATCTCCTGGCTTTGGACAAATACTGGAGAATCAGTTTTCACTTTCTCCACAAATGGGTGGCATGCTCTTCCTTACATCCCATACATATATGCTACACACACAGCATCAAAAGCTCTGATTTCTAGAAGTTGAATGCAGGTTTTACGATCTTAATAGATTCATTCAACCAACATTTTTGGAATGCCAACTGCACGTTAGAGACCACGTTAGGTCTTGGAAATAAGAAGTGAGCCTTGCCTCTTTAATGGTTTAGAAAGATGATTTTAAATTTTTGTGCTTCTTGTTTAAGGCAGCAGGTTTAACCATGGTGGGAAGGTAGGGGTGTGTGGAAAGGCAACCTACAATATTTTCAGTCACATTTCTTTGTTTTCAGGATAAAAACCTCCATGCATTTTATTATCGCCTTGTCTTTTTTTCTAATGACCTCATTTCTACTTGGAAGCCCTTTCTATCTCCTTTTCTACTCTCAAATCCCAGATCAAATGTTACCACTTGTTTAGTTTACTTTAACACCTCCAGTTATATACCTGTTAAATCTCTTAGCATATTGCATTGTAGTTACACTAGCTATATGAACAGAGCTTTAAAATTTCCTGATTCATATAAGCTCTCAAAAGGTGTGTATTTGAGAGAGGAAAAAGGAAGACAGGGAGATTTGTGCGTTTATCACTTTTCCTAAACTCTGACTTCCTGCAAGAAAAGGGCAGCGTGCTGTTTTTGTTGTTGTTGTTTTGTATCACCATTTCTATCCTTTTGTTCAGCAGAGCATTCATGTTTGTTGTTGAAAATTAGAGAAAATAAAAAACAGGCCTTGATTTACATATTATCCTTAAGAAGCTTGTGGTGTTCACCACCTTCTTGTTTGTAATACGAAAATACACACAGAGTAACCATATTTCTTTATTGTCATTCCTCACGAATATTTAGATGGAGAGCTTTTAGAATAATGTCCCCAAATGTCTACTTTCTTGCATCCTAAATATGGATGCTTCTCTCTTACAAAAAAAGAAAAACATATTAATAACAGAGACCTCTAAGGAAACCCTACATCTATGAAACCTTGCTAGAGTATTTTGAAAATTTGTGCTCTGACTGTGGTTAGAGGAATGGCAATCTGTACATTTAAATATGTCACTGTTGGTTAACAGATAGGAAAAAAGGCCAGTAAATAAGCGTTGTTATTAGCTTGTTTAAAAAGATGGTTTCCAAATGCAAATAAAGCATAGTGCCTATTTATGGAAATAGCAGCAAGCTTTCAGAAGCAATGAAATGTTGAAGGTGTTGATTGTTTTATTACAAATGTGAATTCACATTTAAAGAATTGTACACCATATGCCTACTTCAGCTTTCGAAATGTTCTTAACTCTACTCTTTGTGAACATAGTCATTGTTTCATGATAATATTTTATTAATACTTATATATATTTAAACAGGTTGTTTTTTTTTAATCTCATTCTTTAAATGAAACACTGAGAACTTATAAAAACAGACATGATGGCTGGGAAAAATTGCAAAGTCGTGCAATATAGAGATATTCTGGAAGGTGTGTTGCATATACATACTTACTACTTATGCTATTACTACATCACCACTACTAACTACAACTACTAATGTAAATAATAATGCTGACAATGATAGCTCTTTTATTTGTACAGACTTTTACACACTACAAGCCTTTCACTTACCTATCTTTGATTCTCACAACAATCATGCCAATCATACCAGTTTTCCTGAGGAAAAATTCAAAGGTAGCAAAGTATCATATGCAGGAAGATGTTCATCCCTGTGTTATATATAATGATGAAAACATGAAAATATAAATGCCAAACTTTATCAGAACGGTTCAATAAGTATGATCAATCCATATGCTACAAGGTTAAAAAGATTAATGCAAATGTCTGTATATCAAAACGGAAAAATTCTGGTGTTATTCTGTTAGAAGAAAACAAGAGGAATATAAAATTATATTTGTGGTACTACTACGACTATGGAAACATTTCTGTATATTTGTATTTGGACAGGCCTCAATGATAACATGGTCAAATATAAAGTTTCTTAGGGCATAGCACAGCAGTACAGTGTTTGAATTACTTTAGAGTTTCAATAACACTGATGTTGTTCATTATATCATATACGTGTTTAATATAAAATTAAATGCATAAGCCTGTAACAGTATTTGCTGAATACATATATTACATAATCCATCTCTTTAGGGAAAGAGCTTTCATAAAAAAAAAAAAAATGATTGCAGGTTCCTTTTCACCAGAATGTGATTCTCCCACTCCATCCCTTGTGCATCTGGATCACCAGGGGTGATTTCAAAGAATACTATTGCTCAGGCTGTACCCCAGGAGATGAGTTTTCAACTGGTCTGGGATAGGGCCCAGGCATGGTTTTTGTTTATTTGTTTGTTTAAAGTTCTCCAGGTAGTAATTCTATTGTGCAGCTTGGATTGAGAACAGCTAAAACGATTATAATCCTAAGCAACTGAAAGTTTATGTTTTTAAATGTTAAGTTCCTTGAGTTTTCATCTCTAGTGTAAGACTTTCAAGATTAAGAATGCTATTTGGATGGTAGCATTTGGTCTGATTTAAGGAATCCTAAGTACAGAGTATCTTTATGCTATCAGAGTGACAAAGATTAAGAAATAATGATAAAATACTGTGTTGGTGAGAAATGAGCACTGCTATACACTGTTTATAAAAATGTAAATGGAATGTGCATTGATCAGCTTCACTCTAGGGCAGTTTGACAATATGTATCCAAAGCTCTAAAAACATATAAACCCTTTTATCTCTGGAATTCCATTTTTTAAGAATTTATCCTTAGAAAATAATTAAGCATATTGGCAAAGATGAGTTATCATAGTGTTGCTTACAATAGTAATTGTAATTTGATTATAAACAATCAAATATCCACAACTGTGGATTGATTAAATTTTGGTATATTGATACATGATAGTAGTAAAATGGCTCTGAAGTTAACACAAGTTAACATGGAAAGATATTCAAAACATATTGATAAAGGAAAAAAGTTACAAAACAACATGATTCCATTTTTGTTAAAATGTGTAATATGCGTATATATGTCTGCATGTGTATAAACATACAGGTGGGAAAAGCTTGAGGAACTACGCACTAACATAGTAATAGTTATCTCCATAGGTATTTTGTATTTTCTGTTTTGTACTCTCATGCATATTCCAGTTATTTTTTTTCACTAAAAGCAAGTGGTAATATTATAAATCAAGATCAAAAACATTTTCTTAAATTAAAAATATATTTTGAAAAATAAAGCCTTGTTACCTTTATCTAGCCAATTGAATGAACTACAACACAGATTCCCCTATCCTCACTTTGTCCAGCTTGTGAAGAACAAGCTATTTGTTAGCTAGAAACAGCTATTTCTTTGTATTTTTTTAGTATTTCTAAACTTCTTCAATATACGTATTTTCCAAGCCAATTAGGAAGTATAACGTTAGACTTAAGTTTTATTAACAGATTCCGACTCATCTCTGATTACAATTAACCTGATGTAAATCCTCAAAGATGACATGTCAGGAGTTAATTGAAATGTATCTTAATGTATTTTTATGGGGTCGTCTTCCTTAACACCCACAATTAATAAGTGGTTTGGTTTTTTCCTTCTTCATTCCAGGCGGTTCAGGATCGTCATCCTCCATAGCCATAGCCGGCACCAACCACCCTGCCATCACCAAGACAACATCTGTTCTTCAAGATGGTGTCATAGTTACCACCGCAGCTGGAAACCCACTGCAGAGTCAGCTGCCTATTGGGAGTGACTTTCCTTATGTTGGCCAGGAGCACGCACTTCATTTTCCATCCAACAGCACTTCAAACAACCATCTTCCACACCCCTTGAACCCCAGCCTCCTCAGTCCTCTACCTATCTCTTTGCCAGTGAATCAACAGCATCTCCTAAGCCAGAATCTATTAAATATCCTCCAGCCTTCAGCAGGAGAAGGCAAGTCTGAGATCAACCTCCACCCTTTAGGTTTTCTCAACCCGAATGTAAACGCTGCTTTAGCTTTCCTCTCTGGTGACATGGATGGGCAGGTATTGCAGCCCGTTCACTTTCAGCTCTTAGCGGCCCTGCTTCAGAACCAAGCCCAAGCAGCTGCCATGCTTCCCCTGCCATCTTTCAATCTGACCATCTCAGATCTCTTGCAACAGCAAAATACCCCTTTACCTTCATTAACACAGATGACAGCCCCACCAGACCGTTTGCCAAGCAATCAGTCCGACAGCAGTCGTGCTGAGACCCTTTTAGCCAGCCCCCTGGGGAACCCTTTACCAAGCTTTGCAGGCAGTGACACTACTTTTAACCCCCTGTTCCTCCCAGCTGTCACTGGGGCCTCAGGATTAATGGCCTTGAATCCCCAGCTGTTGGGAGGTGTCCTGAACTCAGCATCGGCCAACACCGCTAATCATCCAGAGGTTTCCATAGCAACTTCCTCCCAGGCAACCACTACCACAACCACTGCATCATCAGCAGTGGCAGCACTGACTGTCTCAACACTTGGTGGGACAGCAGTGGTGTCAATGGCAGAAACATTGCTGAATGTATCTAATAATGCTGGGAGTACACCTGGTCCCGCTAAACTCAACAGTAACTCTGTGGTGCCACAGCTACTTAACCCTCTACTGGGGACAGGTCTGCTTGGTAAGTTAAATTGTTTCACAAATTTTTACAAAAGAAACGTTTTTCTAATTCTATTTTCTCCTCCTTTAAAAACTCCATTTTGTCACACTATTTTTTAAAAATGTTTTTGGTATGTCACAGCTTGCTTAAGGAACTAAATATAATAACACCCCCACACATCCATAGTTATACAAACACAAAAATGACTTTTTTCCTTTTCCCCTACTCTAGCAGTACTAAATATCACCTTAATCTGCTTTCTCTGATCTTCCAATTCTGATGCCACTTAAACCTAACCGACCTATCATTCTCTTAAGCCAAGTAGAGTCTTATTTTTCAAACAATAAAGCACAGGTCCATCTTAAAAATAACTTTTATTTGAATTTTAGTTGGTGTGGCATCACAGGGTTGGTATGAGCAGCTGCACTGTGGATGGAAACAGCTTGAGGAAGTGTTTTGTCCAGGTGATCCCTAAATAAACAAAACGAAATGCTTATCCAGCAAAATAAGAAACAAGGCATGAAAACATTCAAAGATAAACCTTGCCCAAGTTCAAGGAAACAGACAGTCTCAATAGCTGTGGTTAGATTGCCTCAGACAGTATAATTCTTTAGAACTTTGTGGCTTAAAAGCAAAATCCTTCATGTGGAGTATTCTATCACCAAAAGGTTAGAAAATAATGTCAAGTATGTCCAACTGACTCATGCAGGCAACTATAATATTAAGTACAGAGATGGTGTCCATAAAGTCTGGAAACAAGCAAATATACCTGATATTGCCACAAGCGCATCTTCAGTACATAAAAATTAATAATAATATATTTCTTGAGTTTATGGACACCTTTATAATATAGTTTATTAACTTCATGGTTTACTAGTTGCTATAGTTTATAAGCTCGATTTGGCATTGAAATCAACAGTTAAATAATTTAAAAAGCATTACAGATTTACATATTTCGAGTTACAAGACAATTTCAATGACATTGTCTTCAAGATCATTTCACTGTAATTTCCAAACAAGTTAAACGTGAGTTCTGAATATAAACATAGTCATTAACTAATCCCGTCTGATTGTATAACATTTATTTTAATGATTACAATGAATTCTTTGTATTGTTAGCTTTCGTTACAATTTTAATTTTAGGTGACCAACCTTTTACCTAAAAACAAAATATGTATTTCTAGGCCAAATCTGATTTTATTTGGTGGTATTTATTGATGACTGTGGCTTGAGAACTAAATTTTATAAATAAGGCCTATTCAGACCCATTCATTTTAATAATTTGCTCAAAGACTTATGATTACTAAAACATTTTAGGACTAATTTCAACCTTTAGTTTCAAGTGCTCTAGAAAAAATAATTTCAAGGAATTATATAACACTAAATCTCAATATATAGGGACTGGCTAATGGTTAGAGCAAAGACTAAGTAGTGTCTCCAGGATATAAAATCAAAAAAACTGATTATGAGAGATAAAATTAAGTAATAAAACTCCTCTTTATTTACCACTTAGGAAGACCTTGAGGAGAAAAAGAGAAAAGAATAACCACGTCAGGTCTAGTTTTCAGTTTTTGTTGCAGGAATCCTCAGGTGCAAAGATAGGCATAGGATCTCCAATGAGTCACATTGACTTACATTTTATGTCTTTCAAACTATAGGTGACATGTCCTCAATAAACAATACTTTGAATAACCATCAACTGACTCATCTGCAGTCGCTGTTAAACAACAATCAGATGTTTCCTCCAAATCAGCAGCAGCAACAGCAACTTCTTCAGGGGTACCAGAACCTGCAGGCCTTTCAAGGACAGCCCACAATTCCTTGCGCGGCTAACAGTAACCCCATGGCTTGTCTGTTTCAGAACTTTCAGGTACTCTTCTTCCCTGGGTTCCTCGAATAGCAAACAATGTCTAGGTCTGTTGAAACACTTAATTGGGGAGAAGAGAAGAGACGGGAGAAGGAGGTCATGCATCCTCTCACCTCCACTTACTATTATTTCCCGATAATGAATATTGTTCAACATTCTAGTCTTTTCGTGAATGTTACTTTATTTTGTCTGAGGCATCTCTGTGGTCCTTTCACAGCTGATGGTAAAAACTAATCATAGGATCCTCTTAAACCCTTTCATAGTTTCCATTGCTCTCCTGATTGAAATCTATATCTTTCACCTGCTGGCTTGGCCTCAGTCACCAGCCCTGGCCCTTACCACCCACCCTGGCTTCAACCACTTAGTCTTTCTTTAGTTCTACAAGCTGAATACATTCCTGATAGATTAAGGAGATGAAAAGAGTAACAATAAATAAAAAGAGAAAACATAGAAGTATTTTTTTAAATAATCTTGAGGTAGAGAAGGTTCTTTCAGTAAGGCACAAAATCAAGAAGTCAAAAAGAAGTAATAGGGTTGAATATATAAAACTTTAAAATCTCTGTATGATAAGGTATTCTAAATGAACTTAAAGACAAGTAGCACCTGGCAGAAAAATACTTGCATAATAATGGCAAATAATTGACATTCACTACAGAAAAAAAGCTCCTACAAATCAGGAAGAAAAAAGATAATTGATTAAAAAAATGAGCAATAGATCTGAACAGAAAATTCACAGAAAATGAAAAATAAATTATTAATGAACATATGAAAAGAGTAATCAGAGTTATACAAATTACAACACTAATGTGTCCATCAGATTGATTGATATCCCTTGCTGACAGTAGTGTGGAGAAATGGATTCTTTTAGATACATTTTTGGTCTGATTGTATGCTGATACAGTTCTTTTGGCGGTTAATTTGATAGTTTATCAAGTTTTTAAATATACATATCCTTTGATGCAGAAGTCCAACCTCTTTTTATCTATTTTAGAGAAATCTTTCAATGTGAACAAAAGGGCACATGCTAGAATGTTCATTCCATGATTTGTGGCGGCAAAAATTAGAAACCTCTTAAGTGTCCATCAATCTGGAAATAGTTAAATATATTATGATAAAACTGTCTTTCTAGTAGTTTAAAAAGTCTAGATAGATTTACATAACTGATATGGAAAGACCCACAAGAATGCAAGACTTTAATACTGTGATATTATAGAACAATACTAAAATACTATACCATTTATGTGAAAGAAGAAAGGAGAGAAAACTAGATATATACCTACACACCTTAATGTATTAAACATAAATGTCTGCAAGGATGCACTCCAGCACTGATTATTTCTGAGAAAGGAAATGGAATTGGAGTGGGATGGGAAAGTCAGGTTTGGGTGGGGAGTAGTGGTAAAGAACATTTTTATCTTTTTTGACAATGAGAAAATATTCAGATACATCTTGTGTAATAAAATAATTTAGAAGGGAGGAGAAAGTGCCCAGCCATGTCACTGAGAATCTCAAGCGAGTGGATAAAGCCTGAAGAGAATCCCCTAGGTTTGGGACATCACCACTAACAGGTAGAATTCAGTTTTCGTGGAGTGGTAAGAGCACAAGACAGATTGCAATAGATGGAAGGATAAAAAGATTAGGAATTAAAGAGTGTGGATTACTCTTTCAAAAACTTAACTATGAAGAACATAAGAGTAAAAGGGTGGTGCCCCAAGGCAGATGTAGGTTGAAGCAAACTTTTAAAATATGGAAGCTATGCACATGGTTGTATGCTAAAGGAAAGAGTCCCCCCCCCAAAAAAAAAGTGGAAAAGATTGAACATTATGAAGAGAAGGCATGACAGATGAGGCAAAATCCCTGAGGAGTGCCTTGGGATCCAGAGCATAAATGGAGGACTTACCCTCAGAAAGCCGAAGAGGCCCCTCTTACACTGGGAAGCAGGGCAGGATTTGGGGCATGTATAGTTGCAGAGAAGTATGTGCTGTGAAGGGGTAGGGAGTAGCAGAGTATAAGAACTACAAGAATTCTTAACCTATCAACTCCATTTTCTCTGTTAAGTAAGGTTATCCACTAGGAATAGTGCTGGAGATGGTGGAGCAGCTAGCTGGAAGAAGTGGATAAAGATTTAAATAGTTGTGAAGGAGAATGTTACCTAACTAGAGGATCATCAGATTGATGGAAACAATAAGCCCCCAGCTGTAGTTGAAAGCCCTAAGTTCCTAGACAGATACTCAGCATTCTCACTGTGGATATAGACAGCAGGCAGTTAAATTGATCCCAGATTGAGATTTTATCTGGTAGGTGTAGACGGTGGGAGAATAACAGGAGAGTGGTTGATGTGCTGATGGATCCCAGGTTCTAGTTTAGTGGGAAAGGATGCGAAGACAAGAAGGGAGAAATCACTGAGGAGAAAATCCAAAGTAGCAAGGGTCTGGAGCAGCAATTTTTAGGTGGGGTTGGTGCAATTAGAATAACCGTAGGGACTTTTTCAAACTGCACTCATCCTTCTTGTCCTGAGCATTGATATTCTTACCTGCTGGGTATTCCCTCCCTGCCTCTCTTTCCAGTTAAGAATCACTTCTATAGAGAGCCATTGTCACTGCTGACAGCATGGGGGTGCCCCCCAGTCAGTAGCCTGGTAAGGTTAAAGAGTAGGTGTCACTATTCTATCTGAACTCTTCAAAAATATAGTGTTGTATCAGAAATATTTTATCATTAAGAGTGTATAGAGAGAGAGAGAGAGAAAGAGAGAGAGAATTTTCTTTTGGCTTATGTTGTATTTCAGTAGAAATATCAGTGACTTAGAACTCCTTTTCAAAATTTGGTTCCCTTTGTAATTTGAGGAGTGCTGGTGACTGACTTGTTTCTCTTTTTGATTTCCAATGTTGTAAAACCTGCAATGACACTTAAATATGTGGAGTCATGGGGCACCTGGTTGGCTCAGTCTGTTAAGTGGCCGCCTTTGGCTCAGGTCAGGATCTCAGGGTCCTGAGATTGAGCCCTGCATCGGGCTCCCTGCTCAGTGGGGCATCTGCTTCTCCCTCTCCCTCTGTGTGTGTGTGCACGCGCTCTCTCTCTCTCTCAAATAAATAAATATTTTTAAAAAATATGTGGAGTCATTACCTGAAAACAGTTTGTGTACAACCACCTCAACTTTAACTTTTTTAGAGAATGTTTGGTAATGATGAGTTCTTTATTTTTTATCTATCTATCTATCTATCTATCTATCTATCTATTTTAGAAATATATCATTTATTTGTATTTTTTAAAAAGATTTATTTATTTGAGAGAGAAAGGAGAGAGTCCATGAGCAGGGGGAGGGGCAGAGGGAGAAGGAGAGAAGCAGACTCCCCACTGAGCACAGAGCCCTGACCAGGGGCTTGATCCCAAGACCCGGAGATCACCACCTGAGCCGAAACCAAGAATCTGACACTCAACTGACTGAGCCACCCAGGTGCCCCAATGATGAGTTCTTTAAAAAAAAATCTGTGAGATGATTTCAACCAAAGAAACTACCCAAATATAATCAAGACATAAACTTTTCCATGCAGTGACTTTTTATTTCATTTTGAGCCTTGTCCTTTCTTTATATTTCTCTCCTTGCTACATTTGTTTGCCTTTTGGTAAATTTTAAAATTATGGTCTTTCTTTTTGAAGTCTTTAAAAACTTTTCTCTCTCTCTCACTTCTTCCTGTCTGTTTCTTCAAGGTGAGAATGCAGGAAGATGCAGCTCTCCTAAACAAAAGAATAAGCACTCAGCCGGGGCTCACGGCACTTCCTGAGAATCCAAATACTACACTTCCACCTTTCCAAGATACATCATGTGAGTTGCAACCGAGGATTGACCCATCTCTTGGTCAGCAGGTGAAGGATGGCCTCATTGTGGGTGGCCAAGGTGATGCTTCTGTAGATGCCATTTACAAAGCAGTTGTGGATGCAGCCAGCAAAGGAATGCAGGTTGTCATCACCACTGCAGTCAACAGTACAACTCAGATCAGCCCCATTCCAGCTCTGAGTGCCATGAGTGCCTTCACTGCCTCAATTGGTGACCCATTAAGTCTCCCCAGTGCTGTCAGTGCGGTCATTCATGGACGAAACATGGGCAGTGTCGATCATGATGGTAGGCTGAGGAATGCAAGAGGGGCTCGGCTGCCCAGGAATCTGGACCATGGGAAAAACTCAAATGAAGGAGATGGGTTTGAATATTTCAAGTCAGCAAGTTGCCACACATCCAAAAAACAGTGGGATGGGGAGCAAAGCCCTGGAGGGGAGCGAAACAGGTGGAAGTGTGAGGAATTTTTAGATCATCCAGGCCATATCCACAGTAGTCCTTGCCATGAGAGGTCCAACAATGTCTCTACACTGCCATTTCTGCCTGGGGAACAGCACCCGGTACTGTTACCACCAAGAAACTGTCAAGGGGATAAAATTCTGGAGGAAAATTTCAGGTATAATAACTACAAAAGAACTATGATGAGTTTTAAGGAGAGACTAGAGAACACTGTGGAAAGATGTGCACACATTAATGGGAACAGACCTCGACAGAGTCGGGGCTTTGGAGAGCTGCTGAGCACCACAAGGCAAGACCTGGTCCTAGAGGAACAGTCTCCAAGCTCCTCAAATAGTTTGGAAAGTTCTCTAGTCAAAGACTACATCCATTACAACGGAGACTTTAATGCCAAAAGCATTAATGGGTGTGTGCCTAGCCCTTCAGACGCTAAAAGCATTAGTAGTGAAGATGACCTAAGGAATCCAGATTCCCCTTCTTCAAATGAGTTGATACATTATAGGCCAAGGACGTTCAACGTTGGCGACTTGGTCTGGGGCCAAATCAAAGGACTTACTTCTTGGCCTGGAAAATTAGTAAGAGAAGACGACGTTCACAACTCATGTCAACAAAGCCCCGAGGAAGGGAAGGTATACCAATCTTTATCCATTGTCAAATACTAACCTTTGTTCAGATATCAATTGTTATTTTTTGTTGTCATCACTTTGGATTCTTTGGATTTGAAATTAGGATTCTTCATGACTCATTGAGGTCTCACAAACTTCTGGAGCATAAAATGAAGAGGGGATGGTTATAGTCACCAAAATATCATATCAAGGGGTGAGTTGTGAAGCCTTTGTAGATCCCACTAGGGCCTCTAACCCAGGAACCAGATTTCCAGAATTTTGTTAATTCTGCCTTCCTTCCCTGCATGTACCTAACTCTTCATTCCATACACAGAGGATGAAGGCAAGTGGCAAGGACTGGGAAAAAAATCTGGTGGCCTTTGGAGTCTAGGAGTGTGGCAGAGGTAGGGTAACAGGAAGTGCTGGGGGATGGCATCACACGGGACACATAGAGCCGAGGAGAGGGTAAAACCCAATGCAATTGCAGCCATTTCTGGAAGCAGCAGGTAACGTCTGTGTTCAGAATGGTGTCTCCTTTCAGGAAAAGTTCTGGGCCTTTATAACATATGGAAATGTTTAACCCCACAGTCTGGTTCTACTTAACACAATCTGATCGTATAAATTAAATGAAAACTTCTCCATGAGACTACCATTCAATTTAGAAGAAATTAGTAGGGGTCTTCTGGGTTTCCCCCCTCCCCCACAATTGGTAGAATTGGCTCACTAGGCGAGAAATATGCAGAATGTTTAAAGCCGATAGAAAAATTTATATCTGACCAGGAGGAGATAATTATGCACATTCTCCACATATGATGAGGAAACATAATTTTTCATCTCCTCAGGAAATAAAAATTACTCTTACAAATATATTCTCTTAATTATTACCCTTACAAATTATTCTCTTAAAGAGTATATTATATAAAGCTATTTCAACTCTGTTCAAACCTCCACTGGCACTTAGGTTTAATGGCAGGAAACCAAAAACATTTTTGCCAGCACAATAAAAAGATTGTCTTTCTCCAAATGATCAGGAGGTCCTTAAACCCGTTGCTTTTAATGCCTAATATATACTTGTCAGGATACGCTCTGGGCATAGTGTTTCTACGTTTGATAAGAAAATGAATTCCATACCCCTATTCACAAAACATTTTATTCTCTAATCTCTCTGAGACCAGACAAAACATTATTTAGGTTGATAAACCTAAATATTTTTGACAGTTTATTCAAAAAGTAATTAGAAACAGCAAAATTGGGCTTTTATGATATAAATGGACTGCTCCAAATATAAGATGTAGACACTGATCTGTTTTACAATTTTTGTGCAAATGAAACCAAGTCTTTTTTAAGTGCCATTTTACAAAAAGCTTAACGAAAGAAAAGATTATGGCCTTCCTTTCCTGGAAACATTCTTCCTATCTTAAATGCCTTGTCTAAATATCTTTTTATGTCCTCAGGAGAATAAAGGCATGTACTTTTAACACATTTCACATTAAACAATGGTCCTAATCTTCTGATTAGTCTGTATTTGCAAACTCCTGGGATTGAGTTACTCACTGATGTTTAGGGAGATACACTTTAAAAAAAAAAATCATCTGAGAGTCCAAGAAACATTTATTTTGCTTCATTTAAATAAGCAACTGGTTTTCACTCACTATACAGTAATAAGTGTTTTTAAAAATCCAGATTCTTCTTCCTTATTGGAGGCAATAGATGAATTTCTAACAGGGAACATAAAATTGTTTCTGTCAACTCAAATATTCCCCTCATCACCCCCACCATCTGACATTGTAATTTTGCATTCTGACAGCCTTAGTATCAAAACCTTGATATCATGACACACTAAAAATATTTTTAGTAATTCAAAAAAAATAATTTAAAGCACACAATTAGAGGTGCAAAACTGAAAACATATAATAAAATATTAATGATAACACATGAAATATTTATCTATCATTAAAAAGGAAGGTATAACAGCCTTAAAAGCTCTAGGGCACTTAACATTTTTAAAAAACCTCTGATCTTCCCAAGACCTACCTCACTTTTGCACATTAAAAAAACAAAACAAAGTACTATTTCACAAGCACTCTTTTTTCTTCTATAGTTCACAAAACAAAGGAAGGGCTTCCTCATACCTTATTTAATGATGCCCAGTAAGCCAAGCAGTTTTCTCAATTTAGAAGACCAGAAAAAGTGAAATTTCAAACACAAGTCTGTCTGACTTCAAGCCAGATGGCCTTTGCTTGATGTCTTGGTAATCCTGGTTCATCAAGAAAAAATCAAACTATATTCAATATCTGTGTAAGACAAAGCATAGTCTTTTTGAAAAGATTTCCAGTAATACATTTTTAAAATTTGTACTCTCAGTCCAGTGAACAAACTGGTCATGATGTAAATTTTATTTACATAGAACCCCTTAGTCCTTAGCAATGTTGGATAAATAAAGTCTTGTGCATTACTAATCAGATTTCTTTAAAAAGGTAAGCTGTGCATTAGGGTCTCTTTTATATACTGTGGCAATGGCTGACATTTTAATAAAGTCGAGAGAGAAAGAAAGAGACTGACTCCATAAACAATTTGTTTATTATAGTAAAATCTAATTAATTCCACCTTGCTAATATGGAATGTGGGACCACATCCCCCTAGTGTTTATCTTTGTAGTGTCTCAGAAGAAAAGGTTTAGTAAACAATTTTCTTACACATTATCATTTTAAACCTTCTTAGATTCTCAGTTTTTCATACTATTTCCATGTCCACAAAGTAAATTAATCCAAGATTCTGTCAGATCCCTCCAGATAAAATCTATGTAACTCAAGTGTTACAATAGATTTATCATCTTATCTCTCCCCACCCCCCACATCGCAAAAACCTATCATTTATTTTTCTGTTGCAGTCTTTGTTCTCAGCAAACCACTTCAAATTCTTTTCAGAAGTAGGCAAATTTTTCTTTTTAAAAAAAAAGCAATGAATTAGCAGTATTGCAGGTTTCTAATTCAAAGTAAGCTGGGCACCTCTCTTGTTTTTAGGTTGTATGGGTGGTCTCTGGACTGACAGATCAATGCTGTGACTGACTGGAGCACTGATATTGGCCAGGGGCTGAGATGTCCATGATGTCCTTAAGTTGATACTTTAGCCAGCTGTCGTGATAGTAAATGACCTGGTCAGTTTAGGATCTTAGGAAGGCATTGTGTTTTTTGTTTGTTTGTTTTGTTTTGTTTTGTTTTTAAAGATTTTATTTATTTATTCATGAAAGACAGAGAGAGAGAGAGAGAGGCAGAGGGAGAAGCAGCCTCCCAAGGAGCACGGAGCCCGACGCGGGACTCGATCCTAGGACCCTGGGATCATGACCTGAGCCAAAGGCAGACGCTTAACCATCTGAGCCATCCAGGCGCCCTTAGGAAGGCATTGTTAATATTTGGTGGGGTATTAAGTGTAGCAGGATTACTAGTAATGCATTAGAACAGTTCTGCACTTTTGGAGATTGCTTCCTAAGAGGTTTTATTTCAAAACATCAAACACTGTATGAACATAGTCTACAGAGAACTAGAGAGAACACAGAGTGTGGCAGAAAGAGGCACGGGCTTTGGACATTCTCACATGAGCTTAATCCCAGCTCTGTCGGTTCCCTAAATGCTCCTGGGTAGGTGTATTAATCTCCCTGAGTTACGGGGCGCCTGGGTGGCTCAGTCGGTTAAGCATCTCCCTTAGGCTCAGGTCATGTTCCCAGGGTCCTGGGATGGAGCCCCTCATCGGGCTCCCTGGGCTCGGTGGGAAGCCTGCTTCTCCCTCTCCCAGTCCCCCTGCTTGTGTTCCCTCTCTCGCTGTCTCTCTCTGTCAAATAAATAAATAAAATCTTAAAAAACAAAACAAAATTCTCCGAGTTGCAATCTCTTCACCTCTCAGGTGGGAATGGAATATCAGTTCCTACTCAGAAGATGTTTTAAGAGTTAAATGAGATACCATAAATAGATTATCCAGCACACAAAAGAGGCTCAGTAAAAATTAGCCTCCTTGCCCCTGTTCTTTTTATGTTAGACAACCTTATTAATTTGGATGTCACCACTCTGGAACTGTGGTAATTTGAGTTTAGTTATTGTTTACGTATGCATTATCCATGAATAAAGGATTTACTAACCAGGTTGAGGGTGAGAGGATTATAATGAATATATTTAATGAATGAAATAGTTTATGACCATTTTTAATGAAGTTCAGCACATCGCATACAAATTGACATATCTGATTATAAATTATTAGCTTTTCATTTCAAGCAGGAGTTCTACTTGGAAGCATTTTCAAGCACTTTGTTCAGTGAGCCTGAAAGTCCCTCTCCTAACAATGTTTCTAAAGAATACCAACTCAGACTTTCTTCCTTTATTTTCCTACACCACTCCCACACATACAACAATATTAATTAGTAGAGATGTTTAACAGTCCATGAAAAGTTGGGCTGAATCGCCCCTATAGAATACTGTCCCAATATTGAAGCTATGTGAAACACTAAAGAATATTATGTGTCTGGTACTACACTGTTTCAAAAGTAGTATCTCCTTACTCTCTAATACATTCCTTTCTTTTGTTATCAGTTTCTAATGAAGGATGGTCTGAAAGGTATTTATACTTTATCTAAATAAATGATACAAGTTTCTCTCCGAACCATGAATCCTTTATAGTTAAGGTTCAGTGGCCAAGAATAAGACCTCAGTGCTGAGTTCCAGTACATCATCACAGCCAGAGAAATGCACTGCCAGATCTTGGCACAGTATTAGGGAATTCTTGGAAAGGAAAATGGCTTCCACTGGCATTACACCTATCCAACATAAAGTGCAAACATTTTTTTTAAGATTATTTATTTTAGAGAGAGAGAGAGAGAGTGGAGAGGAGGGGCAGAGGGAGAGAGAGAGTCTCCAGTGGACTCCCTGCTGAGTACGGAGCCCGATGTAGGACCCTGAGATCATGACCTGAGCTGAAATCAAGACTGGCCGCTTAACCAACTGAGCCACCCAGGCACCCCAATGTGCAAACATTTT